TGTCACTTTGAAATTGCAGGGGCAGAAGGTGAGAAACTTATCTGCTGGTCAGGGAACTTTCTGAAGGCTCAGTTACTCAGACCAGACTGATTTTTATTATTATTATTATTTAATATGTTTTTTTTAAGAACTATACTTGGGTTATCCCCCATTTGTCATAGGCTCAAAGCAAGTATCACCTAATATAGATCAGGTGCTTCATGGTAATGTCACATCCCAGAATAACCTTTTCATTTGACTGTGCCTTTGGTAAAGCAAGGAAGCCTGGAAGCTTTTTCCTCGTTCTGTGTTCCTCCTCAGTCTTAGCAAGCCCCAACTATAACACAGTGGCACATTGGTTTTGCTTTGTTAGTCTTTTTTTCCTCCAGGAGATATGAATTAACAGAATACTTTCAGGACAGGGCTTAAGATCTAGGCAGAAGGACAGTCCCTGTCCAAACACAAAAAATGACTGGAAGAATAACCAGTGCTGGGTGTGAGCTGGCTACTGAACCAACAGCTGCCTGGGATGTGCCCATAACACACCCTCAGGCTATTCAGAATTTTGGGATTTGGTTTTGTTTATCTGGGTGCTGCTGAAGAAGCTTTCCTTTCCCTAGTATTTTAAAGGCATGTGTTGTGACCTGTCACTTGCTAGATTTGTTTGATGTGAAATCTGAGTCTGGCTATGGAAAAGCACACTGCAGGAATGTGTTTATTTTGCTCTCTGCTGGAGGTAACACTGAACAGCTTAATTTCCAGTTTTCTTGCAGTTTCAGCTCAGTGTTGTGTTGTAAACATAATAATCACATTTAGGAGGAAAATTGTCACGTGTGGTCTACAAATAGAAGGCCCAGAGCCTGCAACTTTGCTTTAGCTTCTCCCAGGCAAACAGCCATGTTCACACAAAACTTGTTGCAGAAATGGTGCTGGAAACACCAAAGCTCAAATTCACATCTTCCTTAGTCACTATGGGCTTCTCTAAGTCACATCTGCTGAGACTGTTGGCTTCATCAGCTAGGAGATACTCTCCAGATTGCAAAATACCAAATGGTTTTTAAGGCCACTTACTCCTATTCTAATTAAAGAAATCAAACCAAACAAGCAATAGAACTAAAGCAAAACCATTTTTTAATGCTGCTTGGCTGCAGAGAGGTAAAACAGAATCATTTGCTTTGCAAACACTCCCTCTGTTTAAAATAACTGTTGGATACATGCAGAGAATGCTCTCAGTTCAAATGACAATATAAAGGTATTGAGGGCTAAATTAAACAGCTGATGTTCGTTCAAAGCTTGAAGAAGGGAAAACCTGGACAAGCACTGCTTTTTGTTATTCATAAACTTGTCTTTTTCCAGATCAGGACTATTCTTAATTAAGAAAGCATTTTCAAGTATATATATATTACATGAAAAATTATTTTATATAGGTAAATTTCTGTGTATAATTTCTCCATTGCAGCAGACCATAATGTCAGAGCTAATGTTTTTTTCTTCTTGCTGACATGAGAGCAAATTAAACTCTACCTTATTTCTCTAGTTTGTTTTTTTTTTCTTTTAAGTGACCAGTCTAGTTTTTATTGTACATGGTAGGAGCAGTCTGAGGACTCTAGGTAGAAAACATCAAATAATGTTCAAAAACAAAAGCATCTTCCATAGATTTCCTTCCTGCAGCTTTTCAGTAAGAAGTCAAGTGTTGTCTGAGCTCCCCAAGCACAAGGTCATTGCCACCTGCAGTGGTTGGTGGTGCCTCTCCTGCACCAGAGCACGTGTGTTCAGTGCAACGTGTTGTGATTGTGAACACCAGCTGGGAGATTTAGCATTCCTGCTGGAAAGGAGCACAGCCTGGCTTATGGTCTGGGGTGCTGAGGATGGGCAGTAGGAGTTAAATCATAGAGTGGATCTGTGGCAGGGTTTCCAGGAGTTGAACAATGATAAATGGGGACTCTCTGAGTTAAGTCAATGACAGATTTTACTAAAGACTCTCTTTTTTTTGTACTCAATCTGTGTCCTTAAAATTAATGTTACTTGTGGAGATGGGTACATTATGTGTGATTTTTGCTTCTCTTTGAAAACCACCCCATTATAAGGAAACACCACCAGTATTTTTCCCCACATAAGTGAGCAAGGACCCCGACACATCCACCTGTAATAAGAGAGGACAGCTGCTGTGTATTTACATTTATTTATGCTCTTTGACTATGCGTAAAAATACAGTTTTACCTAGACCATATTATAAGCACTTGAATGAGAATTGGGAAATTATGAATGTATTTTTTCATTCCCAAAGATAACTATCAAAGTTCACTATCCTACTACACACATTAGCACTTGCATTTCTGCCTCAGGCAGCTCAGTGAACAGAATTATTCGTGTAAACTTATTCTAGTTATGTAGCTGTACATCACTCTGTACATTGAGAGGAGAGAAAAAAAATCCTAAGGCTTCATGTTGCAGCACTGGGGGAATTTTACCAGGCATGTAGCTGTATAATCCCATGCCTCTGAGAGCAGATTGAGTCATCTGGGAAGTATTTGACATAGTCCTGCTTTTAGCCAAAAGCTTTTGCATTTAGAATACATATCAACAAGTAAAAATAAGATCTTATATTTAAAGTCAGTGGTGAGGACCAGATTTTGAACTGCTATAAACTTGACTCTATTATTATTATTACTTGTTACCAGCAGAGAATCTACTCAAGCTTATGAAAGGTACTTAGAAAATTACAGACTGCAAAACAAAACCAGAGGCACTATTTTGCACACACATATCGAATCCAGAATGGAAAATCTAGAGATTAAGCACACAGACTTAAAAAAAAACCCCAAAACAAACCACACTGCAAAACTGGTCACTGTGGACAATTGATAGCTATTTGAGAGACTGATTATGAGCCTGGTGTAGTTTAACTGTATTGACTGGCACTCCTGTGATACTTGCTGTATTAAGCATAGTCATTCTGATCATTAATTTCAGCATGGAATGGTTTCTACAGGCTTTTGTGCATTAGTGAAGAATCACTAAAGAAAGAAATCAGTATGTTAGTGCAGTACTGGACATCTTTGAAGTCTGCAAAATTTAACTGCCCAGATGTTTCATGAAAGGCTTTCAATTCAGATAGTATTTTCAGCCTGGCTGCCTACCAGAAAATAAATAACCTTCAATTTTTCATGGAGCCAGGAGACTGACAGAGTTTTCTCTTCCCTGCCCCCTGCCTCGCTACCGGTACCGAGGTGCCAGAGTGACACCGCGTGGCCACAGGAGGGGCAACACAAAGAAACTTCAGAAATAAGAGACTAGAACTTTATCCTAAATACACATCAGGACTTTGTCTTGTCACAGTCCTTCTGAAATAATGTTTGCTATAGCTCCACTCCTTTTATTTTCATATTAAACCCCAACACTAAGAAAGAAAACAAAATTTATTAATTACTGATCCAAGGAAAGGTACCAGATTTTCACAGTGAGATTAAAAAAAGAAATAATAATACACTTGCTTGGAGTATTTTAGATTTTATTTTACTATCTGCGATTATTTCTTTGACGACTTTTAAGAAAGACTTTTTTTCTCATAAGGAACATAAGGTAGTTTAAGCTTTCTCATCCATCAGCTGATTTTATATGTTCTACGCTGTTTTGTTTCTTCTTTTTATCCTTTTGCTTGTCACTAAAGGATGCTGAGTAACTTTTAGCTTCCCAGCAAGTCAGTAAGTTTCAGTACATCACAGGATGCGATTCTGAGCTGGGTGAAGTAATTAGTAGAAGCGGTAATTCCTTGTCCTAAGATTATAGTTTTAAAATCAAAATAGATCAAGATAAATCTAATAGAAGAGAGCCCCTTCCTTTCTTGGAGCCAGTGAGTTAATAGATATTTCAGAAAGATATTTCTGCATTGTGGGGGGAAAAATTGGCAGGTGTCAGGCACATTTTTAATCCAAAATATTATACGCTCAGAGCCCAGAGCAAACATAGTTCAAAAGCAGCTGTGAAATATTTACATTGCTGTCCATGGTTTACACAAAGGGTTGAAATGGAGCAGAGAAACTCAGACTTGCTCACGCTGAGTGATGAGAGGCTGTTCTGAGGTAACACAAAAAAGGTCAAGATCCTGTGGGAAAGCCACCAAAGAGACCCACGAAGAGGGACATTAAGAGACTTAAGTCTTTTCCCTGCCTTCTTTCATCTAGTCAAATCCTTCCTGATCTCCACAGGGGGCCAAAGACCTGCTAGGCCACCCAGTAAAGTCTTCACAGCATGATCCATTAAGAGAACCTATAGGGTGAAAAGGACTGACCTTTCTTTTTATTCCCCCATGCCACCAACTGAGAGTATTTTAGAGCCTGAGCCTACCTCTGATAAGAAAGAGTCAAGATGGGACAACCTCAGGTTATAGATAACCCTCCTCAATGTCTTTAGTCCTCACTGGAAGCAGAATCAGCCTTGGCTTGGCTATGATGTTCTTCCTCTAATGACTGTGAAGGAGAATAGCCTTAAAAAAGGTCCATCTCTGGTGCCTCTTAAGGCAACAGATTAGATAAGAGAGGGCAAGAAAAATAGCACTGAAGGGTAGTTGGAAATGGAGGAAATAGCAATGAGGACTTTTAGTGATACAGCCACAATCTCTTTTTTTTCTTTATAACACAAAAAACCTCTTCCTAAAGACCAACAATTGGCAGGAAAAGTGATAGTTAATGGGTCTTGTGCAAAGAAAAGCAGTAGGTGCAGAGCAAATGAAAAAGAGCTCTTTTGGTCTGATTTGGGTTAGAAGGGCCCATGAACATCACTTACTAAGCAAGTCTAAGTTGTCATGGGAAATACATGTTCCTCCAGGACTAAGGATCCGGCTGGAAATTACCCAGGTCACAGGTTTGGAATCTCAGTCAAACACATTGCCTTGCACTCACTGGATATTTTGTGAGTTGTAGGCAGGACCTTTTAAAAATTAAATTCAATAGATGGTCACTTAAAAAGTCTTGGAAAATATTTCCTAAAACAACCCCCTCCAACAGTCTAGTCTAAACCTACATAGGTCAGCAGAAAGGTTTTCACTAAATTCAAAGAACTGAATGTAACTATTCTTGTAAAGCCACTAATTATCCTCAAGGGCATAATTCCTGTCACTTTAGCAACTGGAGAGCCCAGCTACACCTCCAGTTCTTCCATTAAAGGCAGCAAAGGCAGCCAGCCACCTCTACAGGAGATATAAATTTGTGATCAGTCAATTAATTTGTTAGCAGCAGCATCAACAGAGACTGTATTGATTCAACATGAGGAGAATATATTGAAATATCCAGGCTGAAGTAAAATATGCCCAACAGAGGGGAACACCGAGTACCCTGCTGACATTTCCATGGGAGGAGAGAATGCTTTATACAGGAATACAGTGGGAACAAAATCAAAAGCCATTACCTGGAATTGATGCAGCCAATGTAAACCAGAGCAGCTGGTGGTCCAAGCAATGGGAAATTTTTAGATTACTCCATAAATTGATGCAGCTTGTCAGAAAATCAGGCAAGGAGCTTGGATGCGAGTGAAGCTTAATGAAGTAGGGCCTCTATATCAGCATTTCCTTATTCCTACTCAGTCTTTACAAAGCTGATGCAAAATAAAATCAAATTGAGCCAGTGGTAGTGCTGTGCTTTCATGCAGGTCTGTAGGCACCAAGCAGGAAATAGTGCTGTTCAAAACTGGCTCTTCAGAAGCAACCCCACATACTGACATGGGAACATGGGTAAGTTCTCAGTCATTTGCTGCAGAAGCTTTATTTGCTGCTTAAAAGTAATTTTAAGTATAGCAAATGCAATTGCATTGAGACTGAATAGGTATCTTCTTTCTAACTCTAGTAGGTACATTTCCCATGCCCACTGGACATAAATCTTACACTCACCCATGTTTCAACAGATGAAGTGGCAAAGGAGCACTTTGTGGTGTGTGTTCCTGAGCAACTGAAGGTTCCTTAAGTAATTAATAGCAAGGGAGGTTGTTTACGTGATCCTTTTAGCAATGGCACAATGGCCTGACATCCCCTCCCTCCTAGAGAAAACCGATTGTACAGATATGGGAAACAGATCCGCACACAGTGAAAAGCTGCAGTCAGTCCTCTTTTAGCACCACAGGGATTAAACCAAAATTGTAGTTCCCAGCTGCTGCAGGACTGTCCCAAGGCAGTGCCTCCCCAGCCCCTAAAGCCTGGTATCTCCCTGGGCTGTTCTGATAAGAGCAACTTTAATCCTCATTCAGAAACCAGCTTATACATAAGGGACACTTTCCAACTTTGATTGTTCAGAGGTGTGCAGCATTTTCCGTCATTTAATAAGATTTTTTAAATTATTAACTTCCTTCCCTTGTCATACACATTATTCTTATGTCTTACCCTTATTCTCTTTGGCACTAACTGCACACAGTGTCCCACAGCAGGTAACAACCTCATTTCCTAGCACATTCCATGCTTCCTGGCGTTGCCCTTACCTGAAACATCATCTTTTCTCTTCCATGAAACTTCTTGCTTCTCCTACCCCAGTAAATCTTGGGCAGAGAATACGATTTGTAACAGCACACCCAGCCACAGGGGGTTTATAATGAGAGCCTCTGAGAACATTAAACAGACTTACACTTTCAAAGGCAAATATGACCCTAGAAGTGGCTAATGTATGACAGGAGAAAATATTTAAGACAAAAAAATAAGCAAGAGATAACCACAGTTATGATGAAATTGCTGGGGATTGTGAAAACTGGATAAGAAGAAAATGCATGGAGAGATGAGTTGTGCATGGTGAGTAGCAGCAGTTTCTGGAGAAGGTGTATCTCCTGGCCCTGTTCCATCTCCAGGTGCCATAAAGGCACATAAACAATAGGAAAACACACAGGAGAAGATAAGTCCCTGAGAAAGAACAGATTGTAAATGAAACTTTGAAACAGGTTATGTCTGCAGCACAGCCAACCCTGCTCTGCCTGTCCAAAGGAAAGAGAGGATGGATTCACTGAATTCTTGCAGCAAAAGTACTGGCCCAGGAAGGACCACTTCTGACCCCAACACCTCCTCAGAACATGAAGAGGTACAGGGATTTATTTTTTTTTTGCAACAGCTTTTGCAATATTTATCCCAATCAAGGATTTAGAAAGTCAACTTGTTCTTTTTTGTTCCTCGTAAAATCACTAATTTGTTAAGAACCACTTATTTTAAAAGCAGCAGATGGCAATACCAAATTCTCACTGAAATTAATTACGTCTGAGGAAAATAAAAGCAGCTGAACTCAGTCTACAAGGACCTAGTAGGTGGTTGGCTGTATGAAAAAAAAAAAAGCTTGCTTTGCAACTTAAAAAACCCCATCACCAAAGCCCTAATTTGATCCTGTGTAAAATCCTATTCTTCTATATACCAAACTTTTTCATCTACATTACTTCCTAATGGGATAGAGGACACACAGGTTAAGTAAAACACCAAGATAAGTTTATCATTACCAGCTGGGGTTTTCCTGTGCTCTGGTAGAACACGTGATACTGAGCAGCCACAGCACCAGAGGAAATACTGAAAATAACATTACATTATGGAACCTGATTTTAAACATGAGCAGACTACTTTTAAATAAAATAATTCCACCCCCAGTTCTTACAAGTTAGAAGAAAGTTACTGCAATAGGTAGCAATAAATAGGTTTGCTGATGATCACCCAGGGGGTTAAACCCCACCCCCCCTCCTCAATGTGCAAGGCACCACCAGTTTTTACTAGCATAAAATGGAATTTTAAATGGTCAAAACTTGAACATCACAAACGTTCCATATACCAGGTCCAGCAGCAGGGCAGTTACAAAGAGTCAATGATGTATTTTTCCCTAAAGGGAGTGATCTGCCTTATTGACAACTTTGATAATGTTTTAGAGTGGAGCTGTTACAGGGAATCATGTCTCTGAGTATGGCATTTGCCACCTGATCTGACCTCAGGCACAGATGGACACTTATGTTCCTTCCCTCTTCCTATTTGCTTGGAGCACTATAATAGTTTGTTCAGAGCTACAATGATGTTACACCACCAGTTGTAACAGTGCCTCGGTAGACAAGGATTGCAGACTCTTCAAATTATTGTTTAAAAAGCAGCTTTCTTTAGAAACTTTAGTACTTTGGTTTGTTAGACAGGCTAAAGTGTTCACCATATGACATGAAATTGAGACAGACACCAGCTACATACAGAAGAAAAATAAGGCTTAACCAGTATTGCAAACAAAAAAATTAGCTTGCCTGTCCATTAGCTTCTGGGTTTTAGAGCACTGGCAGGTTCCCCTCTTTTCCACACACCAAGGTAATTAATTAGCACCAGCAATACAATCCCTTGACCTGTAAAGCCTGTATCAAGTCATTAAATTCAAAAGCAGATCAATTAGGTCCCTAATACTTGGCCTTAAAATTGCATCCTATCACTGGTGTTAACAGGAAAAAAAAAAAAAAAAAAGTCAGCCATCCCAATTTTCTTCCCCCTGCCTTCAATTAAGTAACTTTTTAAAGTAACATACAATCAACTATTAGCACATACATATTTGAACTTTTTACAACACTCTCACCTGTTCAGTTAAATGCTGAGGAGCTTTAAAAAGTTCCTGTTGTAATTATGGGAAAGTCTATAACCACTGTAGTATCTGAGTCTTTGATTGCAATTCCTTGCAGTCACATTAAGTCAACATTTACTTGACTATTCCTATATGAAGACAGACAGTTTTCCAAATTCAAGCATAATCCAGGGGATTCTCTGATTCTCATTAAAGTAGAACTGCATGACTAAGTAGCAGGTGGAAGGGGCCCTGTTGGGCAGTTATACATTTGTATAGATAGTCCATGTAAAATTTAAGATAACATACCTTAACTGGTCCAGGAGTTAGAAATATGTCAATTCACTAGTTCGCATGCCAACATCTAGGTACATTCTTGGGCCTTCCAGAAAAGCAAGGGATTTTTCTTCAATACAGACTTGCAGCTGCCTTCAAAAACTCAAACCCTAAAATTAGTTTGGCCATTTACTTTACTGTAGTAAGCTGCAATTCTTCAACATCTCAAAGTACACATCCCTTGGCACATCAGTTGCCATGCTCAGGTCAAATTGGAACTGAAATCACACAGAAACAACTCAAACTTGACAAGAATTTCCTATCCTATCAAGAACAACAATGTAATGTTAGCAGCTTTTCTTAGCCAAGTGGAACCTTACAAGTGCATTCCAAAGAAAACACGAGTCCTCTTGCAGAGCAACCATAGTCTGGAAATGAATTCAGTCCTTCACTGGGTTTAAAGTTTTATTTATAGAAAGATGACTGCATTAATTGCAGCAATATTTGCATTGTATTTGAACTCAGCACTAAAGGGTTAATATTTACATTTAGATAACACTTAAAACAAAACAAACTGAAACCAGCCACAGTTTTAGAGCAGAAAGACAGACAAAGATTACAGACTTAAGAGTGAAAGTAATCACAATTTTTTCATTGTGAATGATTTAGTCCAAAGGTCTGTTATTTCTTAATCAGACTAGCAGGAAGAGTGGATTTGTCCAAGTCATCAAAATATGGATGGTTCAAGGCCATTTTGCCAGAAATTCTTTTTGCAGGATCATAAATTAACATTTTCTGGAAGAAAAAAAAAAAAAAAGAAACACTCCTTCATGAAATGTGAACTAAAATCATCTCAAACAGGTAGGTATTACCATAATAACAATCATCAAGTAACCATAAAGACATTTTCCCTCTTTGTTCCATGATTTCTCACAGTTGGAGAGGTTATTTGCACCTACAAGTCAGTGGTAGGGCAGTAGCAGTGCATAACAGAATCACACATACCCTCCCTGTTCAGTGACCAAGCCCTTCCCTGGATCTGGGTTCCACATGCACTGACTAAATCCAGAACCAGCATCAAGTGGCAATAATTATTTGTCTCACCTTCTTACTAAGGGAAATTAATAAGCTTTAGGCTGTTAAAGCCCCAAACATCTTATATTTGTTTTATTACTGACATTGAAGAAAGTGCTGTCAAATTGCTTTTACTCAGCTTAGTGAAGAACTTTACAGTTAAAATACAAGAGAGTGATCACAGTTTCAAAATCCAAACAGGAAAGTAGATTACAAGCAGGTAGAACTGAAAAGAAGAATTAAAACTTGAGTTTCTTTGCAATAACTTACTTCAACTGAATACCTCAGTAAAGGGAATGAGAACAGAAAGAAGGGGTTTCATAGCCCCAGAACTTTCTAATTCAGGCAAAACCTTTGTTTTGCTAGCAGTTAAAAAAAAAAAAGCATCTATAGTTTATATCATACAAGGGGTCAAAAAAGGAATGAAGCATTCAGCACTTTCCTACTAGACCCAAAACTAGCAAAGTCTCTGCAAAGTCTTTGTCTCCTTAATAAAGGACAGCCCATTTCAAAAATTTAAGTAATCAGGATTCTACCAGCTGCCTCTCCCTCATCCCCACAAATTTGTCTTCCAGAACAAAACTTAACCACTATTACTCTGCCCAGTATCCAGTCTTGACATTTAACTATCTTTACACTTCATCCTACAGGGACCCTTCCAAGTCGATTTAAGTCTCTGAATTTGCATTTATACTCTCTGAACCTCTGCCAAATACCACTCTGCCTCTAGATTTAACCTTGCAGGTCCAGTTTTACCTTGTGACAGGTTCCCATTAGCTGTAACCCAGAACAGTGTCCTATAGTAAATACTGATATCAAAGGGTCCCTTAAAATCGACTCAAAGAGGTAAATTTCTCTGTAAAAGAGATGGTGTGACACTGAGACTAAAGCACTTCAGCTGCTGGATTAAGTGACAATTTCTTCCCTGAGCAGTCTGGAACGTAGTGTTTTCTGGAATCTATTGTCTGTTCAAAGCTTTTGATGACAGCAATTAAGTACTTTCAAATGCTGGCCACAGAAATCATTTAGCTTATGAAGGTCTTAAATTTACAACCTCACTTGAGCAACTTGAATTACACATTTTTTTGTTAAGACATTTTCAAAGACAGCTACTTTACATACTAATTATTTATATATGTTCTGCTACTACTTCAGGCTTAAAAGTGCCATAGGAAACAAAGGGATTCCCATCAGGAATACCACTGTCACCAGGCATTATTAGCAAACTAAAATATCAACATTTATTGAATTAAGGCAAAATTGTACAAGATCTGAGAGAATTTTATATGCTTTGAGACTAGCATTGAGGTTTTTTGCCTTTACTCACAGCAACCCAAACCACTGGTTTTACATAGTGAAGCCACATCTAAGCTCAGATGAGTGCCTAGCAGGTCAGTTTAAGTGTATGGACAAGATTCTCTTGCCAATCAAACAATTTATTTTAGTTTGTAAATACAATCAGTAACATTCTATTTCAAACTGATTTAATGATGATGCTGTCAGTGGTCATGGGGGAAATGTGTCAGCCTAAGTCACTTATCTGTATAAAACAATTCTGCTGCAACATTCAGAGCTACCCAAGACAACTACATCTTTAACAAATGTTCAGGTTGTCAATGTAAATTGTGGCTCTGTTCACACATCCCCCCAAAAAAACCACCAACCCAAAAAACAAAACAAAAAAAAACCCCAGAACTGAGAAACTATGGTCATTTGAGCTTCTTGGACAACACACCTTCATTCAGAGTATTTTGCCACAGCCATACCAATATGGTTAAAAAGTAATTTGTGACTGCTTAAAACCATGAACCACATGCACAGGTAATGGCTGTACAAGGCTGCCCCTGTACTAAGGTGGTTCTTAAGTGTCAGCTTATCTTACACACAGAGCACCCACCCCACAACCCACAGGTAAGACTGCACTGTGTAGATGCAGCTTTAGAACAGCCAAAGGACAACCAAGATACATTATTACACTTCAGTATATCCAAGAGCACACCTAAGTTGTGACCTAAATTAGTCCACAGTGGCAGCACAGGGGCTGGGAGAGCACTAAATGGAAAAACTTGATGAAGAGCTTATCAATTAAAAGCCTGGTGTGGTAGTTTAACTGTATGGCCACGGAACTAAAGGAAACTCACACTTGACACAAAATATATCAATTAAAAGTTAATACACCACAGCCAAAAATCTTTAACTCAAAATTTAAAGGCAATTGAGACAGACATTACAGACAAACAAACTAAGTCTCTGGTCTCACAGCTGATCAATACATTCAGCTGTTTCCATCACTGTTTATTCAGTTAAGACCATCACAGAAGTTAAATCAAGATGAGCCCACCAAGATTAATCCACATGCTACCATAAAAAACATTTCCAACTGGATCAGCAGACATACAGCCACATCACAGTTAGTGCTGGGAGCAGCAAGGTGATAGTTTATGGGCAGGAGCCTTCACTTTAGATCTGGTTGTAAAAGCTCATCCTCACTGTCAAGTTGTACCTGGCTTATTAGTATAAAAAAGCTGAGGCATAACTTGTTAATGTGAAAAGTAGTCTGGTATTATTTATGAAAGGAGCGAATGTTACACAAGGTGTCAGTTCTACAAGAATGAAAGCTCACCCCACTGCTGATAATTTGAAGATCTCCATATCTCCCTTCTGGCCACAGCTGATTAGTGTAGCTTTCTGTATTCTGGAGTATGTGAAACAGCCCCTTTCGGTTCAGCAGTTTAAGAAAGAATACTTACAGCCAGCAGATCGAGTCCATCTTTATCCAAGTTTTTGACATGTGTTTCAAGGCTGACAGGTTTCCATTTTGGGAATGTGTTCTTATAGTCTTGCAGGGATTCCACATCAGGCCATACCTCATTGTTGGGGGTCCCTAAAGCTCTGTGCAGGCATAAGCAGAACATTAAGCAGTTTAGTCTGAAACCTGTATGCATGACTATGCTTTTAATGAGCACACAACTGTTGTGTGGTGCCACACAGGTAGCAGGGAAGGTTCAGCCTAACATACCTGAAGATTCTGAAGATCTGGTCAATCTCTGAATCCCCATGGAAAAGTGGCTTTTTAGTTGCTAGCTCAGCAAATATGGTACCTATGCTCCATATATCTACAGGAGTAGAGTAACGAACAGATCCCAGCAACACCTCTGGAGACCGGTACCACAGTGTCACTACCTATTGAACAAGGCAAGTTGCTTAAGTTTGTAGAATCAGGTCCTCTCCTTGACAGCAAGCACAACAGTTCATCTGTTACTAAGCAGCATTCTCAGCTTCTTTGGTTAAAATAATAGCTGGTGCTAGAAGTTTTAGTGAAAATACTAGTTTAAAACTGAATTTGTAGACAAACGAGTTCCATTGCAGTAGTTTCTGCTGCAATCCAAGCAGTTGCCTACACTACTTCCCAAAGGGCAGGAAGCCTTTAGCACCCATCCAGTAAAACCCTCACTTGAGTGCTTTGTGAAGCAAAAATGCCCTTATGAGATAGTGAGCAACAAGTTCCAGCCCATCTAATTCACTATCAAGGTAATAGTGGGATTCATAAGATGCTTTGGAACTTCAGAGTAAAACCACAGTCAAAGAGGTGGAAAACTGTTTTGGAAAACCAAAATACAACTTTTTGATTGTTTTGTTAGTTTACAACTTCAAAACATGCATGATTCTTTTTTAGTAGTAATCTAGTGAGCACTGTGCAAACCACTAAAAGTATGTTCCAACTCACTTCATGAGTGTAGACCCGCACTGGAATTCCAAAGGCTCGAGCCAATCCAAAGTCCGCCAGTTTAATCACCCCCTTGTCATCTATTAAGAGATTCTGAGGTTTCAGGTCTCTGTGCAGAACTCTCCTTGAGTGGCAAAAGACAATACCTTGCAAGATTTGGTACAAGTAACTCTAGAAAGGATGAAGTGGGAGGAAAAAAACAGAGGAGTTACCTTTAGTATACATCAGTGTCTGCAACACAAAGGTGTTCCCTTACATTAGCTCACCCCACAGTATTAGGAAATGGAGATCCAAAGCATTGCAGATAGAGTTAATATCAACCAAAAAGCCACACAATTTAATTTTTAAGATTAGTTTAAGGCAGTTTAATCCCAGTAATTAAAAGAATTTGAAGTGGCATTTGAGAGCAAAACTCACATTTCATCTTATTATCCACAGCTGCTTATTTAACCTTTCATTTCTCCTCAAGGAGTTACTTATACTGAAAATAAGAGCTGCTTATAGCTTACTAGGTTATCCTTAGATTAATTTCCCTCCTATATTAAGAAATTGTCCTCATTACCTTAACACGGGAACGCTCCAAATATTGGCCAGATGGAATACTATCCAAATACTTCTTCAGATCCATGGAAAGGAATTCAAAGACAAGGTACAGTCTTGAATCCTGCATAAGAACATCCTGAAGACTAAAAATTGAGTATACAATTAACTCCACTGCAAAATGCATGGACTCAGTTACATTTCCCCCTCTCAACAGGGATACAGACATTTCCAGGTCTTTATTATGGAAGTCTTAAAAGTTTTCAAACATCAGCAGACTTAGTGAGTTATACTGTTATCTGGAAAATCAAGTGTATCTGAAAGAGTGTCACTGAGATAAAAACCTATATGCTTCCTCTTAAACTTATGTTCCCTCATATCAGACACAGGCAGCCTGAGGAAAAAATACTGTTGCCTTTAAAAACAAACACCTGTGGGTGTTGGTGCTTGACTTCTCTTTGAAGCTGGCTTATTACAGCAGAGCCTGATTACTAGGAGGGCTTAAGGGAACATTACAGTAGGAACCTAGTAGACACAGCAGGATTTGCACACATTTCTAAGTATCTCCTTCATCCTTATTAGAGTTTAAGGTTTCCTAAACCCAAGCATACATACATTGAGACACTACCTGGCTGCAACTTGGCCAGTTTTAATGCACAGTCAAGATCAAGTATTTTGCTACATCAAAGAGCAAGCAAATATTTTGTGCGGAAGACAATAGCTACAATTAATTTTCACATGTCAAGTAGTCACTGATGGAAGTTTCACTTGTAGCTCAGATGTGCCAGCTATGACAGCACCATACACAACACATAAATTCCTGCTACAGAACAGCAGGGAGGAGATTGATGACAGGGGCTCACTTAAGAACACTCAAGTCAAATGCTCTATTCCAAGGCAGCAAATTAAATTTTGAGACTGCCTAAAGTAACAGCTTCAGCCAGTTTTCATGAAGGATGCTGCCTCCATTCTCACAATAACCTCCCTGAAGATAGAATTTACATAAATTTCTAAATCAGCAAAAATTTGTTAGATTCCTTGAATGGTGAGAGACAGCATGAGGAAGGCTTAATTAAAAAACTGGTGTAATAATGGGATTTGGGAATTTAACAATTTGCTGCAAAACAGATACTGTATTAAGCAAAGTGGTTCTCACCTCACTAAAACAGTGGGAAAATAATTTATTATCTGAAGGGACCTAGTGCCCTTCAAAGTTTAGCTAAATACCAGTATATGCATACCAGACTATATTGGGATGATTCAGCTCTTTTAATAAAGAAATTTCTCGGATAGCAGTACTTGGAACACCTTCCTCCTCACTTTCTAGACGTATTTTCTTCATTGCAACCACCTGGCCTGTGGTTTTGTGACGACCTTTATACACAACACCATAGGTACCTGAACAAAAAGACAGTGAAACACATATAGGAAGTACCAGCTTCAGGTACAGATAAGTCATTGCAAATATGAACTGCTAACATAGGCAAAGTCCTTGCAAATCACAGAATATGCTGAGCTGAAAGGGACCCACAAGGATCATCAAGTCCAACTCTTAGCCCTGATTTGATTATGACCTACTGTTTAACTCTGGCAGTTTACCAAGCAATAGTTCTGTTTGTTTAAAGCATGCCACCCACTAACTGTCAGGGTACTTAGTAGCCTGAGCGTGAAAGGTGAATATTTGGAAGATGCAGTTGTAAAATCAAATACTATCTGAGTTTTGTGTTGATTAACTTCCAGGCAAGATCACAATACTGCCTCGTCCCCAAGGGGGTTATGATTTTGACAATGATAGATCATATTAAAACACTGAAGGTTTAGCTGCAAATAAAAGTACTGCTCCTTCTGCAATTTAAGATCAAACCATCCATGGGTCTGATCTGTAGAAACACCTCTGGCTCAATCCTCCGTGTAGGGGAGAAGGTAGTGCTGTGGGTCTCAGCAGAAGCTAAACTGGAACCACTATTAAATTTCAAATCAATCCATTTTAATCATCAGTGTTCACAGTAGAACCCTCAAACCAAGACAGTGTAAACCTTCTCTTTTTACCCTTCTTGAAGCATTAATCCCTCACATGAAGCTCAGACTAGTTTCTTTCAAAGATTCATGCACAAGGTTTCAGTTACAAAGCTTTGTTTGCAAGATCTAAGCACACACATTTTGCAATTACCTCAGAACACATTCTCAGAGCAACATACTTCAAATTCTCAAGTCTACATAGGATTAAAGCATTATAAAACACACTGACTTCTACAGTTAACATAGGCTGGATTTTCAGTAAAAGGGGGCTATGACTAACATCTGCATTGAAGCCATTTTCTTAGTGCCTCACAGTAAATTAACTGTTAAAATTCACTTCTCCACAGAGGTTAACACTCTGCACTTTCCCTTGACAACCACAGTGCTTGGATATAATCAAAGTGGGATAATCCACAAAACCTACTCCCTACCAGCAGCTCCAAGCAAAAGTATGCCATGTAGCATAACTTCAGGAACAACTGGTAAGTTCATATATGCAGGAACAGGGGAGCTTCCTCAATTGTAAAGCTGGTTTCAGGACTCAGAACATATTTCCCCCCCACCCACCCCCCCAGCCCCAGGAGAATATTAATTACACCATCAGCATGAAGGCAGGCGCTTTCTTGCACTGGTCAGTTGTTTCCAGAGACCATGTAATTTCCAAAAGAAGGGCTGGCTGAAAGCTTTTACATATAGAAATAATTACCATAGAAAGCCACAGCCTTATTTAGCCAGATAGTTGAATCTCAGTGGTTCCTTTAATAGCCAAAGTGCACAGAGCTTCCGTGACACCCAATAGCTCAAATTGTGGAGCATTAGAAGTCTCACTGTTCCCCATACTTACCTTCCCCAATCTTCTCTATTTTTGTGTAATCGTCCATTGCTGTGGATATCCCTAAAATGAACAGGAAAAGGAAACAGCAAATGAGGGTGAACAGTTGCTGTCCTTACCACAGCCAAGTCGCTGGAACTGCGCCAGGTCTTTAGAAGCTCGTTAGTTCTTGCTAATTAAGGTGTAATGTGAAACACTGTTCTCCTCAAACAAACACCAGGGTTTTGAGTTAAAACTAGAAAACCTACATCCCGAAGTGCGAGCGGGCACCCACTCAAAGGAGAAAGATATTTTCGTGTGTGTGTGAAGAAAAAAACTCCTGACGGAATTGAAAAAAACACACACCGCCCACCAGTTTTACGTGGTTACTCACTCGCAGGAACCCTACTATGTAAAAATCGCGGGGTTCTGTGTCAGCCACACCAGGAAACACCAGTCCCGTGTGTCAGGGGGTAAGTGCAGAGCACAACCAGGACAGGCCCTTCACACCTCCTGCTCCCGCCGGGCACGGCGGGGCTTCGGCACCGAGGTCAGAGGGGTTACGAGGTACCGGCCGAGTCATCTACGGCTGCGGGAGGCCGCCGAGCTCCGGCTGGGGCGAGCAGCGCCCGCTCGCCGCTCAGGACCCCCCCTCCCGGGTCCGACCCAACCTCCGCCCCGCTCTCACCGGGCCCAGCAGCCCCAGGGCGCTCCGCCGCTGCCTGCCCGGCTGCCCTGGGCCAGGAAGGCGCGGGTGTCCGCGGTGTGAGCCCGGGGGTGCCCCGGCCGGGTCAGGAGCGGGTGTCCGCAGTGTGAGCCCGGGGGTGCCCCGGCCGGGTCAGGAGCGGGTGTCCGCGGTGTGAGCCCGGGGGTGCCCCGGCCGGGTCGGGAGCGCGGAGTCCCGTCCCGTCCCCTCCTCTCCCCTCACCTGCGGAGCCGCCGCGCGCTGCACGAACCGCCGCACAGGGACGGGTGCGAGCGGGCGGGGGGCGGGGCCGCGCCGCATTCGAACCGTCCGCCCGCCGCCCTCCGCCAATGGCACCGCGCCGCCGCCGTTCAAACCGACCAATCGGAGCGCCCCGCGCCAAAGCGAGGCCGCAAGGGCGGCTTTCGGCTGCTGCTGGGGGGAGAAGAAGAAAAATCGGGCGCGGTCGGGCGCGGCAAACTAAGGATGCGTCGGGCGTTCTCTTGGTTCGCGAGGCACGGCTGACGGCGCGGGCGGACGGTTCAAAGTAGGCCGAAGCCCCGTTGCCCCCCGGGCGGGGACACGGGGGAGCTGGGACGGCGCGAAGGGTCGGACTGGTCCCAGTCACACAATTACAAGCATGGGGCAGGCTGGGAGGGACGCGTGGGTCATCTGGTCCTACCTCCCTGCTCTAGCACGGTCATCCCAGAGCACACAGCACAGGATTGTGTCCAGCCAATTCTGGAGTATGTCCACGGAGAGAGACTCCACAGCCTCTCTGGGCAATCTGCTCCAGTGCTCGGTCGCTGCACAGTAAGGAAGTTCTTCCTCACGTTCAGGTGGGACATCAGTTTCTGCCGTTGCCTCGTGTCCTGTTGCTGGGAACCACCAAGCAGAGCCTGCTCCATCCTCCCAGCTCCGTCCTCCAAGCATCCCATCTTTTTACACTGATACAGTTGATGAGGTCCCCTCTCAGTTGTCTCTTCTTGAGGCCGAACAGGCCCAGCTCCCTCGGTCTTTTTTCTCAAGAGAGATTCTCCACTCCCTTGATCAACTGTGTAGCTCCCTGCTGGACCATGACTGCTGCTGGAATAACGCATTGGGCTGATGGCATGGTCTGGGGAGCATAATCGTGTTGGGACCAGGCTAAGGTTTGGCTGCAGCTGCTCCTTTTAATCAAGTCTGTTACATTTGGATGCCACAGCCGGCCAGAGCATAACTTCATTATTTCTGGCTGCATGGGTGCTGATCTGTGAAGTGCTGCTGTGGCCTTTGAAGCTGCTTTTAAAGCATAGACATTAATAAAAGGTCACTGGATAACTTAATTCCCCAAAAGCCGGGACACATGTCTGTAGGGAAGTTAAAGTTCTGTATCCCTGCTCCCCGATTAAGGACAATTAGTCCCTGTGCTATCACAGCTTCTGAAAGAAGGGTCGGGGACATAACCGGAGAGGCACCTGGGGGTTCTGCTTAGGGAGTGCTCTGCCAGCTGTGACCTCCCTCCATTGGTACCCAGGGAAATAGTACTACACTACATATGTATTAAAGAAAAACCAGGGAAAATACTATTCCAAACATTACAAAATTGTGTTACTGAGAAACTTAAACACTAAATAGATTAGCAAAGTTAATGTGCTTCTAGTTTTATAGCTCTTTCCCTACAGGACAGTTGCACTGTGGATTCTGTGATGCTGCTGACCCACTCTGGCACCTGGTTCCCATCAACACTGACAGTCCTGGGCCAACACTCTCCTGTGGAAACCTGCAGTCCCTGCAGGAGTGAGGCACAGGCACCACTCCACACTGCTAATGTATCTGCATTTTTTAATTACTTCATTGCACTGGTTTACATCCTTCTTGAAAGATGGCTTTGTTGCTTGTCTTAAATATAAACAGGGCAGGCTGCTGCAAAAAAAATGTTCAGCTTCTCCCTTAAAGCATTTCTTTGGGAGGGTGATTCCATCAGGCAGGAATATAGTTTATATTCTGTTTATAGTACACTTCCTGCTTCTCACCCCTGCCCCATGGCAAAGGCGAGAGGCAGCTTGTCCAGCTCCTCCTCCTGAGCATGTTTTGGGGTAAACCCCCTCCACTTTCCCTTGCCTCCTGCAAATTTTTGCCTCATATGGTGCCCATGCTTGCATATTTCTGTTTACCTTGATTCGTGTATTCCCACCACTTGCTGGGGATTTTACCTGCCTAGAACAGGGCTTTTGTATCTCTGGCAAATTCCATATGGAAACACGGCCTCACATCTCATGCAGTTTGTAGAGAAAGGGCCCAACATGTTCTGCCCTGTACAGTCACAGAGAATCTCTTCCCTCTGTGTGTAACAAGTCCAGTGCAGCCAGGACAGGCTGGGATCAGCAGTGCACATGGATCATCTGCACAGCTCAGGCAGAGTGTGGGACATGTCCCTCAGGCCTGGCTCTGCACCAGCAATGCCATCAGGGTGCTCTGCAGCTTTGGGGGAATTGCTTTCTATAGCCAGCACAGGACTGGAGCTACTGCTGCTGGACTAGTCCTTGTCCAAGGACCTTAGGAAGGTGGCCAAAGTCCACCTTTTCCTTCAGAGAAAAAAAAAAACATGTCTGGGAAATCCCAGACATATGGTAACCCTAGTTAATTTGGTGGGATCCTGGTGGTGTTGCAGTATCGTGAATATTCAGTACTATAAATTGGTATGTTATATTAAGATATATACAGATTCTATTTATATGTGAAACATACTGTGCCTGAAAGTACTGAATACATTGATCTGAATTTCCTTGAAAGTGACATCTTTTTTCTATTTTTAACCAGCTTCAGTTTCTGGATCTCTTCCCCCCCATGGTGTGGGGCGGCCCAGTTCTAGTTCTATTTCCATCTGAGGAACCATTTCCGACGGCTTAAGTGGATGGCGGGGGGGACTCCAGCGCCAGGGGTTTCTTCAGGTCCTGAGCCTGGAGTGGAGAGGTGCTCTCCCCTCCTCCCACTCACGTGGCTCCATGGCAGGCACAGAGACAGCACAGAGGGTGCAGAGAGGAGGCAAGAGAGAGTTTTTTGTTGGGGGGGTTACATTTATGGGGTTAGAAGGACTCACACAGTAACCAATTAGAAGTCTCGAGGGGCTTACAGGAACACCCAATCACAGGAAGGGGTTAACAAGGTCCAATGAGAACACCTTAGGACATCTTCCCAGGACATTGCTGCATGGGATAACACTTGTCGTGGGGGGTCTTGGGAAGAAGAAAGCATGAGTTAGCAAAGAGACTACAAAAAGCCATTTTGAAACGTTTAAACCACAGTTTTCTCATATACTGCAGATTTACTGCCACATCAGTTTAAATATATGCAGATGTTTCTTAGTTGTACTCAGACTGCTGTTTCTGTGGGACACTAACTGTTCATTCTCAGAGTGCTCACTGAATTTTCAAATCCTTTGAGAATATGCCTTTTTCCATGCATCCTGTTGTCTCACGAGCTCTGAGTGGGGAAGACCAGGGGGCATCAGAAGGAAAGCTGTCTGAAGGAGAACAGCTCTCTTACTGAGGAGCCTGATAACCTTACTTCTATTTCACATGTGAGGAGACTCCAAGCTACGTTGCTTATGAGGCAGAGTGCGTGTAAGTACAAACCTGTCATGGCATTAATTTGTCAAATATCAGTCTGACAGTTCTGCTTACTCTGCGTTTTCCTCCCTCCCGCTGCCCTCTGTGTATCTTTAGGATACAAACCACGTCTCCTTTCCGACTGGATAGTGCTTATCTCTCTTGATCATTGCTTTGGATGTGGCAGAAGCTGATGATACTGCTTGAGACAACCCATACAACTACATTTGTAGTGACTTTTGTGTTGGAAGGGATTTGCTTTTCTGCTTGAAGGAACAGTAGCAGTGAACCTGCTGACACGGATGGAGGTGGATGGATGTGGGAATCCCTAGGACTCCTTTACAGCACAAACCTGGATCATCCAAGCGCAAAAACGAGGAAAAACTGGTGAACAAGGTGAACAAGCAAAGGAATCTAGGTCTACTTTGACAACAGGATGTTAAATTAATTTTCTTGATATAAATGACCAAAGGGTACATGTATTGAAACCTATTTGGCATCCAGAACTTCCCCTTGCTTGAACTG